AAAGAGGCTCCTCTATCTCGTAGCGGGTCATGAAAGATCGTCTCTATCTCTTTGCCGGACATGAGAGAGTCCTCTACCTACCTCTTGTGAAAGAGCTCCCCCACCTCGCAACGTACAAAGACACAACTCGTCTATCTTTCAATGGGACGTGATTCTCCTTTGCTTTTGGTAAGCCCGAACGACTACCGGAATTAACTTCTTGCATTTCTTGTTTTTCTCACAGACAGGAAGAAGTTACGGAAATTAATGAATTGTGAATTTCTTTAATTTGTTTTCATTAATCTCGCAAGCCCGAACAGCTGCCGGAATTAGTTTCATGAATTTCATTAATTTCTTTAATTTCTTTGATTTCTTTATTGTTTGAATTTCTGAAAACCTTTAATTTCTTTAACTCCCTCAATTTCTTGAATTTCTTTACTTTCTGTAATTTCGTTTAATTAGTCTCGCAAGCCCGAACGGCTGCCTGAATTAATTTCTTTAATTTCTTTTTTATTTCTTTAATTTCTTTAATTTCTCACAGAGAGACCCAGAAATTAAAGAAATTAAAGAAATTAATTGGGGGAGCCCACCCAACTCACGGGACTAATTTAAACTAGAAGACGATTGGCCCGAAAGCATCGATTTGCGGTGCGTTGAGTCTATGCACTTGACTCTGTGCGCTCGAACTGTATGCACTTGGACAAGTGTATGCACTTAAGTGTATGCACTTATATGGTTGCATACTCACTTGTATACTGCACTTGTATACTGGACGTGTATGCACTCGAACTGCATGGCACTCAAGTGTGTTGAGTTGAATGCCATGCACTTGTGGTCAACTCTATACACTTCATTGGCATTCAATAGATCTGAAGTAAACGGACTTGAACTGTATGAACTTCACTTGCATGCACCCGACTCGGCTGCGCACGTCCTGTCAACGCGATGCTATGAAAGAAAAGACAAAAACATCTAACGCGAGAGCCGTCAGCCATGAGCATCATCGGCAGTCGCTCTGAAGTCCAAGCTCACACTCCAGAGCGCCTTTCAAAGAAAAAAGGACAGAAGAGCGAGGTTGGCAAGAAGACCTTGGAGCTTCAAAGAGCAGAGAAGCACAGTGAAATCTGACCGAAGTGAGTTTCGCACGCCGGGAATTAAATAACAATGAAATTTGCGATGTTTTCGCACGCTCGGCATTGGAGCACCATGTGATTTTGCGAAATCATTAACCATGGTATTTGCGATGGTTTTGGAACCAGCGAATTCGGGGACCATGGTATTTGCCATGGTTTGGAACCAGCGAATTCGGGGACCATGGTATTTGCGATGCTTTTGGAGCCAGCGAATTCGGGGACCATGGCATTTGCGATGCTTTTGGAAGCAGCGAATTCGGGGACCATGGTATCTGCGATGCTTTTGGAACCAGCGAATTCGGGGACCATGGTATTTGCGATGGTTTTGGAAACAGCGAATTCGGGGACCATGGTATTTGCGATTCTTTTGGAAACAGCGAATTCGGGGACCATGGTATTTGCCATGGTTTGGAACCAGCGAATTCGGGGACCATGGTATTTGCGATGCTTTTGGAACCAGCCACGGAAGCTCCTTGCGATGGTTTTGGAAACAGCGAATTCGGGGACCATGGTATTTGCGATGCTTTTGGAAGCAGCGAATTCGGGGACCATGGTATGTGCCATGCGTTTGGAACCAGCGAATTCGGGGACCATGGTATTTGCGATGGTTTTGGAACCAGCCACGGAAGCTCCTTGCGATGGTTTTGGAAACAGCGAATTCGGGGCTAGTCTCGCAAGCCCGAAGGGCTACCGGAATTTATTTCTTTAATTTCTTTAATTTCGCACAGAGAGGCCCATAAACTAAAGAAATTAAAGAAATTAAAGAAATTAATTGGGGGAGCCCCCCCGGCTCACGGGACTAATTTAAATAAATGAAAGAAATTAATGAAATTAAAGAAATTAATTAATTTCTTTAATTTCTTTAATTTCGCACAGAGAGGCCCAGAAATTAAAGAAATTAATGAAATTGATTAATTTATTTAATTTCTTTAATTTCTCACAGAGAGAATTAATGAAATTGATTAATTTATTTAATTTCTTTAATTTCTCACAGAGAGGCCCAGAAATTCAATAAATTCAAGAAATTAATTAATTTCATTAATTTCTTTAATTTCTTTAATTTCATTAATTTCTTTTAATTAGTCTCGCAAGCCCGAAGGGCTACCAGAATTAATTTCTTTAATTTCTTTAATTTCTCACAGAGAGGCCCAGAAATTAAAGAAATTAAAGAAATTAATTGGGGGCCCCCCCCCCGGCTCACGGGACTAATTAAAATAAATTAAAGAAATTAATGAAATTAATGAAATTAAAGAAATTAATTAATTTCTTTAATTTCTTTAATTTCGCACAGAGAGGCCCAGAAATTAAAGAAATTAATGAAATTAATTAATTTCTTTAATTTCTTTAATTTCTCACAGAGAGGCCCAGAAATTAAAGAAATTAATGAAATTAATTAATTTCTTTAATTTCTTTAATTTCTCACAGAGAGGCCCAGAAATTAAAGAAATTAAAGAAATTAATTAATTTCATTAATTTCTTTAATTTCTTTAATTTCATTAATTTCTTTTAATTAGTCTCGCAAGCCCGAAGGGCTACCGGAATTAATTTCTTTAATTTCTTTAATTTCTCACAGAGAGGCACAGAAATTAAAGAAATTAAAGAAACTAATTGGGGTAGCCCCCCCGGCTCACGGGACTAATTAAAATAAATTAAAGAAATTAATGAAATTAATGAAATTAAAGAAATTAATTAATTTCTTTAATTTCTTTAATTTCGCACAGAGAGGCCCAGAAATTAAAGAAATTAATGAAATTATTTAATTTCTTTTATTTCTCACGGAGAGGCCCAGAAATTAAAGAAATTAATGAAATTAATTAATTTCTTTAATTTCTTTAATTTCTCACAGAGAGGCCCAGAAATTAAAGAAATTAAAGAAATTAATTGGGGGGCCCCCCCCGGCTCACGGGACTAATTAAAATAAATTAAAGAAATTAATGAAATTAATGAAATTAAAGAAATTAATTGATTTCTTTAATTTCTTTAATTTCGCACAGAGAGGCCCAGAAATTACAGAAATTAATGAAATTAATTAATTTCTTTAATTTCTTTAATTTCTCACAGAGAGGCCCCGAAATTAAAGAAATTAATGAAATTAATTAATTTCTTTAATTTCTTTAATTTTTCACAGAGAGGCCCAGAAATTAAAGAAATTAAAGAAATTAATTGGGGGAGCCCCCCCGGCTCACGGGACTAATTAAATAAATTAAAGAAATTAATGAAATTAATGAAATTAAAGAAATTAATTAATTTCTTTAATTTCTTTAATTTCGCACAGAGAGGCCCAGAAATTAAAGAAATTAATGAAATTAATTAATTTCTTTAATTTCTTTAATTTCTCACAGAGAGGCCCAGAAATTAAAGAAATTAATGAAATTAATTAATTTCTTTAATTTCTTTAATTTCTCACAGAGAGGCCCAGAAATTAAAGAAATTAAAGAAATTAATTAATTTCATTAATTTCTTTAATTTCTTTAATTTCTTTAATTTCTTTTAATTAGTCTCACAAGCCCGAAGGGCTACCTGAATTAATTTCTTTAATTTCTTTAATTTCTCACAGAGAGGCCCAGAAATTAAAGAAATTAAAGAAATTAATTGGGGGGGGCCCCCCGGCTCACGGGACTAATTAAAATAAATTAAAGAAATTAATGAAATTAATGAAATTAAAGAAATTAATTAATTTCTTTAATTTCGCACACAGAGGCCCAGAAATTAAAGAAATTAATGCAATTATTTAATTTCTTTAATTTCTTTAATTTCTCACAGAGAGGCCCGGAAATTAAAGAAATTAATGAAATTAATTAATTTCTTTAATTTCTTTAATTTCTCACAGAGAGGCCCAGAAATGAAAGAAATTAAAGAAATTAATTAATTTCATTAATTTCTTTAATTTCTTTAATTTCTTTAATTTCTTTTAATTAGTCTCGCAAGCCCGAAGGGCTACCTGAATTAATTTCTTTAATTTCTTTAATTTCTCACAGAGAGGCCCAGAAATTAAAGAAATTAAAGAAATTAATTGGGGTAGCCCCCCCGGCTCACGGGACTAATTAAAATAAATTAAAGAAATTAATGAAATTAAAGAAATTAATAATTAATTTCTTTAATTTCTTTAATTTCGCACAGAGAGGCCCAGAAATTAAAGAAATTAATGAAATTAATTAATTTCTTTAATTTCTTTAATTTCTCACAGGGAGGCCCAGAAATTAAAGAAATTAATGAAATTAATTAATTTCTTTAATTTCTTTAATTTCTCACAGAGAGGCCCAGAAATTAAAGAAATTAAAGAAATTAATTAATTTCATTAATTTCTTTAATTTCTTTAATTTCATTAATTTCTTTTAATTAGTCTCGCAAGCCCGAAGGGCTACCGGAATTAATTTCTTTAATTTCTTTAATTTCTCACAGAGAGGCCCAGAAATTAAAGAAATTAAAGAAATTAATTGGGGGAGCCCCCCCGGCTCACGGGACTAATTAAAATAAATTAAAGAAATTAATGAAATTAAAGAAACTAATTAATTTCATTAATTTCTTTAATTTCGCACAGAGAGGCCCAGAAATTAAAGAAATTAATGAAATTAATTAATTTCTTTAATTTCATTTATTTCCCTAAGAGAGCCCCAGAAATTAAAGAAATTAAAGAAATTAATAGGTAAATAAATTAAATTCCTCATACAAGTGATATACGTGAAATGGACCCAAAAGGTCCCTCTCACATATATATATATAGTATCATCTAGTATTATAGAGACCCATTTAGGGCCGAAGGGAGATTCAGGTGGTGACTTTGTCACTGGGCCCTCTTTGAGAGCCGAACTCCAAAAACCGCTGTGTTCAAGCTGCTTGGGCAGACAATGCTCCAACACTAACAGTCACTAACAGCACATGCCCCAGGGTCTTCGCCGCCTTTCCGCTCTGCCGGTGGACGCTTGGAAAAGTTACAGGGGCAGTTTCAGATCCCAGGAGAAGTTTGAGGGCTACAGGATGATGACTCAGGACGGGGATTGCTGGCAGTCGTAGATGAGCCATTCAATCCGAAGCCTGAACTCTCATGCTAAGCCCTGCCAAAGCGCATTTCAAGATCGATTCCGCTTGTCGCAGAACTGAAGCCGTTCCTGCAAGCCCACAAAGCCCTAGCCCTGCCTGAGGATACCGCTGCTGCGCGTCCCATGGTTTGTGCTCACGGTGCTCCTTTACCGCCGCCTGGCTGAAGCGGTGTGTCTTGGAGACCGGAGTGGTTGGGGGTGATGGGGTCCATGATGGGGTTGGGCGTTTTGGGGTGAGAATGAGCGTGCGAGTGCTCGATCTGTGGCCATTGTGCCCGCGGAAAGATCCTCACGGGTAGTCGGTTTGAGTCTCAGTCCAGGGCGTGAGTGCTTCAAAACAAAAACGGATAGCTGATTCTGCTGGTGTGAAGGCTGCCTGTCGACATTTCCCTGGATATCTGCATGCTCACCATCCGGTGATCCCTGTCGAGATGATCGCCAGTGGTGGGAGTTCTACTGGGGCAACCTGGCTGTTCATTCAGCTGCAGGGCTCATGCTTGGTTGAGTGATTGCAACCCGGCTGCAACCCTAGAAGACCTACAAGCCTCCAGAATCCTACGCGCTTAAGCAGCGTGGCCCAGTCAGCTCGGCATGCCCTGGAAGATTCGAAGCCTTTAAGTCCCCGAACCCCAATGTGGCATTCAGAGGATCCAACTTGGGCTTCAGACTTTGAAATGGGGCGACGGGTGCTGCAGAGGGGCCATAGTGACTATAGCAGGTTGCGACTCCGATGGCCTGTCGACTCTTCTTGGCCTGGAAGCACGCGAGAAAGTCGTTGAAGACACCATCACCAACTCCGCAATAGGCCCAGGGGAGCCCAGGGGCCACCACTGGCGGAACTTGCCATCACAGGCATCTTTTGGGAAGTGTGCAGACTTCGTTTGCAATCCAGTTTTCCGAAAGTCCGTGAACCCCCAAGGTGGCAAGTCCTCGGACAGCATGTCTGTGAGAACCACGATCAAATCCCGCGTTTTGCGCAGGTGTGGTGATCATCCTATCGACCATTTGTTTCGCCTCCATGGCTCCGCTGCCGCAGTTCATCAAGGGAGCTTGGACGAGGTTCTAGATGTTCAAGACTAGGGCTTTGGGCTTGCAGCATACCGCGGGGAGCGGGGGGACGAAATCCCTTGCGACTCCTCATCGTGGAGCCGACATGGCCTGTCCGAAAGTGGGGTTATTGCACCAACAAATCACAAACCGTTTTCGGAACTCATCAATCAACATGCCCGCATCACTGTGCCTACATGATGCTACTACCAGTGAAGCATATGCATGTCATTTGAAGTATCGCTCGCAGCCATGCTTTCCTGTGACACTTCTGCCATCTCTGCGAGTTCCAGCCAGGTCTGGTGGCTGCGCCATTGTTGTCTCCGAATCAGTAAGCGGAAGACCTTCGAGAAATTGGAAAGCTTCTTGGCCTGGTGTCCTTCAAACTGCGGCGCGTTCTGCGCAACACAGCCCTGTCGAATCGTATCATCTTTGACACTAAGCAGAGTAAAGTACCATACAGTACATTCCTCAATGATTCAACAACCTCGGAAGACCTTTAAACCCACGCTGGGCTAAACTCCACCAAGCCGCAAAAGGAAAGAAGTTGACCTTGATCATGACCCCATAGCGCAACTCAAAACCCACTAAACCAATCTCTGAGGGCTAGGAACCCTGTGCACAACGGTGCCTGAGTTTTCAGCTCCACATGGGCCCCCGGGTTCGAATCTGCAGCAGCTGAAGGCTACAACTTCACTCGCCGATTTCTGCCGGGTGGAGATGCCTGGTTGCATACCGGCATATACCGGCGATCCCAGGGAGGTCGTTTCAGACCTCGTGGTCTAGAGCGTTCTGAGCATTCTCCTGAAGGCTGCACTTTGCAGGACTGTGCGCCTCGGATACTTCAAGATAGACAAGCAAGTTCTGAATGTAAACTCCACAATCACGCATCGAGGCATGATGTCAGGTCATGGCCAATCAGAATCAGGAGGGAAGACGTCCAAAGCTTCACGGGCGCACGCCACATTCAATTCTCACAAGCGCCAGCGTTTGTGGTATTTCGGGCCCAAGAGCTGTTGGCCACAGCAGGTGACAGTCCTGATCAGGATGGGATCCTCCTCCGGCCCCTGGCCGACTCTGATGACGACCTTTGGCTGGAAGCTGCGCGGCACGTGCACCACCAGGCCGATAAAGTCTGTCGAGGTCATACTTTTGAGGGCAGAGATCTGAGAAGGCATTCAAATTGCTGGCTTCAGGCCAGGTGACATCCAAACCCCAGCCTTCCCCAAATACTTGTGCCACTCAGGAAGGCCCGTCTTGAAGCCGAGGGCCTCCAACAGTATGCAGGGTTGAGGGGAAGCGTGGACTGAGAAGCTGTGGGGATGTTTGCTACTCCAATCCTCGGGAGTCTTGAAGCTCCGGCATCCGTGCAACTTTGAAGTAAACAACCCCACGTGCAAGCCCCAAACTCCCCCCCGACCTTGAGACTAACTTTGCATAAGGGAGTTGAAAAGTTGTTTTTGGCGTTCCGTTGTCGTCTGCAAAATGCGGCCTGCTCTCCAAACGAAGCTGCTTACACCACACAAGATCACAAGACTACGTTCAAGGTTGGTCGCCCCTGTTTTGGACGACACAAATCTAAGTCACATGTGCACGATCTTGTGAGGCGCTGTTCAAGGTCACGTCGGCTCGATGGACCGAACATCTTCAAGAAGTCCGTTTTCAAGTCTGAAGACATGTGTGCACAAATGCCTCGGGTCCCATTTCTTGAACGATGCCTTGTTCAAGAGTCTTGATTGCCTGGTGCTTTGTAAAGCTCGAGATGGGGGGAGGAGGGGGAGTTACAAGCCTGGAGAGGCGAAAGCACAGGCCAAGACTGGACGTGGAGCCACTGGGCACAGTTTCTGGATTCTGGAGCAATAAGGAGTTTAGTTTAGCCTGCAAGGGCAGCACAACATTGCTAATCTCGGCTTGAAGAGCTGGTAGGGAAGAAACGGAGTGTTGTGAGGCTGGGTGGTGGTGCAGGGCCTAATTCGGATGTATGGAGGTCAAGATGCAGATGGAGTCTTTGTTCATGCTCTCCAGCACCCATCTGCCCTGGGTTCTTGGTCAGATTAGATTTGGTGACAGCCTGTGACCCCCAAATCTAGAGTCCTAAGCCCATTGATGTCCGGACTTGCCTCCACATGTCGAGGCGTGGAAGGTTCGTAAGCTGGAGTCACTGCTGCGAAGCATCGACAGCGGAGCTTGCTGGCCATTTTTGGAGCGCTTGTTGAGAATGAATGGGTTTTTGTGAAGGTACTTGAGGGGGTCACCATCGGCAGTCGGAGATGTGCAGTTCCGGTTGGGAGAGGTTGCATGCGTACGCACAATTAGAGTTTGGGAGCCCCAACGCGTGTGCGCGCAAGGCATACACGTTGGCACGCGCTCACCTGGGCGGCTGGTGTCGATCTCAGCACTTGAGGGTCTCAAGAGTCTCGGGTTGAGGCTGTAGGGCTGCACTCGACTCTCCAGCCTAACCGGTTCATCAGCGTCAAAACATGCAAGAGCTTTGAGGCTGAGCCCTATAGCAGACAAGTTGCTCAAGAACTCTGGTCGTCAAGACAAAGTCCCCATCCCTGAAGCCACCAGTGGAGACTCCCTCGATGTTTCGGTCGCGATCGGGTGCTAGCTGCTAGGACGCTGGTCAATAAAACCGACACATCCTGGAGAGTGACCACTGCAGCTCGCTACGCTGAATCATGGAGAATGTGAGGGGACGTGTGCGGATGGGAGGGGCGGCGAATATTGAAAATGGCCAGGCGCTTCAAGCCTGCAAAGCCAAGCGCCCTTAACAAAAAGCTGTTCTTTTGTTGTTGTTGTTGCCACATGTGCACTTCTCTCTCTCTCTCTCTTGCCAGGTCCTTTCCGTTTTACCACCAGTATCTGCAATACCAGATGCCGAAGCGGCTGGGCTCCCTGGTGGACCTGGTGAACGGTTTGGGCCTGGACCAAACAACGCTGACCAGCGTCTTATCTACAGTTACTGTTTCTTCTCGGTCTTATATCCGAACTTGTTGCCCTGACATTAGCGTCGGGAGATGCGGTGCCAGGCTTCTGGACAACTTAGGCGTGCACCAGCTTCAGACCAGGGTCAGCCATGCCCTGAAGATAGCAAGGGTGCGCCAGCACGTGCAGCGGCTGCTTTCGAACCGCCACTTTGTGAAGGCCGGCTTGGAAAAGAAGTCTTGGTGGATCCTCGAGTGCCCGGAGGCACCGCCCCTAAGGCTTATCCACTGGTCCAAGATTGCAGCTGCAGGGCAGCTTCCGAAGTACAACGTGGATTCTGGAGGCGCTACCTCCGTAGACAAGCTCCTTGATGAAGTCGAGGAGCCTAAGTTGCAGCAGTTCTTTACGCATGTTTTTTAAACGTTTTCCTTTTCTTAAGACATTTTCTTGTGTCCGGGCTGAAAAGATGAGAAGAACAGTGCCCTTTCTGGGTGACCACCAAGCTACCCGGTACGCCAAAATGCACCAAGGACCGCCTGGGTGTGTTCCGAGATGCTGCGGAACGCCAGCTGGCGGCTGCGGCGGCAAAATGAGTCATGTTGCATGTTCGAGTCCTATGTGTCAAAAATTGCACGTTGGCGAACAGAGTTGCTCCGATGCCACTATGCTGAAACCTCCTTGCTGAAAGCAGAGGTGGTCTTCCTGCTGTCGCACCGCTGGTTGCGTACATCGGGAGCCCAACGCGGCCACCCCGACTCTGTGGAGCACATCAAGGTACGCCGTCTTGCCATGGGGTGCATTTCTTTTGCACGCGCTGCAAGCCCAAGCTCCAAACATGCTCACGCAGTGTTGGCAACTCTGTGATGCGCCTTGCAGGCTCGCAAGCTCGTGACGTTTGCAAAATGGTTCATGCGCCTGGCGGCAGCTGCTGGTGTGCAGCGCCACCGCCAAATTCGAACACATTCCTACAAGTTTGTCCGACAGTTTGTCCTTCATGGCTGCTTCGGGCTAAGTCCCTTTACGTGTATAGTGTTGCATGGGTTGTCCATGCAACCCCGTGGTTCACCCCTACTTGTAGAGCATTGTAGAGCTGCACCTTGAGGCCCCCAGATCTACGTTTCCTTTAGACAAAAATCCTCCGGATCGCGAATGGCCTTTGATCCTCAGGTGCGAGGTTGCCTTCTGGATCGATTACTGCTGCTGTGAGCAGGCCTGCCATCCAGGGCATGGGCATGACCAGAGCTGTGAAGTACAGTACTTCCCGCATGTCACGGGTGCATGGGCAGACGTGTTGCTTGTTGGGCAACTGAGCCAGAAGACGGAAATAAAGACCTGTCCAATAAAGCTCGAAACCGTTAGTTGGCTACAGCAACGTTCAGTGTAAGTTGCTACCTTGCCCGGCGCCCTGCAAAGGACTCCCATAAACCACAAACCCCACCAAACTTGCAGGATGATTTCTACGGGGCCGACTTAGCCATGGCCACGCTGCCCTTGTACATTGCAGCATGTACCAAGGCGGGGGGGGGGGCGGGTGGTACCATGTGAACATGTTCAAGGTCAAGGTCGAGCAGGCCAGCCACGAAAAGGCCAATCAAAGTGAAAACTTGTTGGCTTTTCGGGTTCCCAGTTTCAGCACCGTCCAGACTCTCTGCATCCGTTTCTGCAAGAGGTGCTGGTATGGCGGACACCGGACTTTGATCGCCGGTGCTGGACCATGGTGGAAGCCCGATCAGATTAAAAAGTCAAGGCCTGCCTGAACCGTGTACGACTGAGCCGGAAGGTTAGGCCAGTACTTAAGAAGAAGATTTGCTGAGGTCGGTTTCGTTTGATCTAGTGGGACATTGGAGTTTGATCAGTCCGGCATTCTCCAGCCACCACAAGGAGAGGCTGCTGTCCTACTCCTTCTGCCCGGGCGGCCTTACACCCTATGTCATTGACGCCTCGCTGGAAGAGCTGACGGAGGATGCTGACCTCTTCCCGGCACCTCCTTGAGAATGTAGTCCTGTAGTCCTGTAGGGCTCCGGCTTCGGTTTGCACCAAGGCCCACGCCCACCCTGCCAACACTTGCATTGAAGCCGAGCTCCCCAAACCTTCCTGAAAGCAGCGAACCTTGCCTGCCTTGTGCGAGAGTGAGCGACTAAAGCAAGGTAGAGTTGCCCCGTCCAGTGGAAGACGAGATTTGGGAGGTTCGTGCTGCTTGGGCCCGACCAGGAATATTTGTGCGCGTGTGTCATCCATGTAAGCCCTGCAGCCTGCACCTCTGTGTGGCCCGCAAATCTCCAACCTATAGCAAACACAGATCGAAGCTTTAAACCCGGAAACTCCCTGGGCTCCTAAAGTCCTCTGCCACTGAGGTCGAACAGGACCGATGGCAACCCTTCGAAGCGTCAGCGCAGGAGGGAATCATTTTCCGACTGATCTCGGTGTAAAAAGCGCTTCAACGATCTGCCTGTGTGGGGGTGTGCGTTTTGAAGGAATGGAAAAGGCACACAACTGACTTATACCACGATTATATAAGGCAGGGAGATGAAGGGAACTAGAAGGGGAGCAGAAGACATGACAAAGAAGGCAGGAAAGCGCAGCGCACCGAGGCCTTTTGTGTCGAGCTGGTATGAGCGCACAGTCAGCAGCCCTTCTCCACCGGCTCGCCGACATTGTCTCTGCAGCTGAAGGGGCTGCATAGTCGTCGGTGTGCGGTCACCTGCGCAGTCGCCACCGCACATGACGACGGTCGGTCCAGTCAGCGCCGACGCGAAGCGCTGTCGGCTGATTCGTCGCTGTGGGCCTCTTGCGCCGACCTCTTCTCGAGACTGCCATGATCCCCGTTCTCATCTTTCCTCTCCGGGCTTGTCCCGAGACTCCAACGTGAGACCTCCCTTGTATGCCGTTGGCTTGTTCTGCGCCTCCCTCAGAAGTAGGAGCTGGTTGGGAGCACCAGAAGTGTGTGTGGCTTCGGAATTTTAGACTGCTGAGAGCCGATGCTTTGAATCTACTCGCCATACAGGGACACTTCATCAGACTTCATCAGTAGTTCTGTTGGAAGGTTTGTAGCACAAACCCGGCGACAAGACAGCTGTAGTTTGCAATTAATGTAGCTGGAGACCTATGAAGAGTCCTGATGATCGTATGGGCGGTTGCAAACCGCCAAAACCCCCTGCAATGCAGTTTCATGAGGACTCAAAAACTGAGCTGGACAGATAGAATGCAAGTTGCCGTTTTGTTGAACAAGTTGTGCTATTCTTTGCTAACGTTGATATGAGTATGCTCAGAAGCTTATGTAACTTGAATATGTTATTTATAACATACCATAATGTATTAGAAATAAAAATGAATTAAGAAATATACATATATATATATATATATTATCGAGTCTGTTAGAGTGTGTTTGTTGGTACGAACTGAACAAGATGGGTTGACCAGACGCTTTTGCGGGATTTGGTATGTTGTTGTCAGACTGCGCGGATGTTGTTTGATCATGTCCTTTATAGCCTTTGTAGGAACACAGTCTTCTTGACCAGGTGTTCAAGTTCAAGTGTTTTGACCACTCGCATGTGCCAGTTGGTTGAAGTTTGAGCTGCATGTGTCAGCTGTCAGGAGATTCTGCGAACAGCGCAGCTGGCCGGGCTGCCCCACACGCAGGCCTAAGGTTGGGAAGTGCGGGATTTCTCAGCGCCCCGCGGGCCGGGTAAGGACGAGTAGCGTTTGCAGGCGCCTGTGCGGCTTCCGGGTTCAGAAGGGACATAGTATAAGGCCAGCAAGGCCATCCTGCAAGCAAGAAAAAGTCGGTCTCGCCGAACCTGCAAGCCAGCCGAAGACCTTGCAGGAGACCTCTCGAGCACCCTTGCAATCAATGTACTGCCTCACGTGCCTGCGCGAACATGAAGCGCTGGAAGGTCAAGAGCGGTGGGAGGCAGTACGAGATCGATTTCAAGCGCTTGTCACAGCGGAATCTAGCAGCCAGGCTGCATTCAAGGGCGGGAACCGATGAAGCTTTTTACCCGCGTCCTCGGCTTTCTGAGTTTCCGGAAAAGGGGCAGGATGCCCAACATTCGCCAGAGTCGAAGTCCTACCAAGAGTGCCATCAAGCGACATTCCGCAAGGCCGCACATTTTGACATGCCTTATTATAGGTTAGAAAACAAAGGGTGTGTGGGTGTGTGTGTGTGTGCATTCTTGTGACCCTTTGTAGTTGGACCTTCAAAACTTTGACCCTCAAAATTGCCCAGGCTACAGGCACACGCCGGGAGATCCGGCTTCGCTCAGTGGCCACAACGGTACAGGTTGGAGAGGCCGCAACAGCAAAAAAACGACATGTAGCACAGCCGCTACTCCAGCCTCAACCTTCGACTTATACTCGATCCCCAAAAGCTGTCAATCAGCCCACAGCAATCAAGCCTCCCCATGAGCGTGACAGGTGCATGATGCGGCCCTTGAGCGCGTGGCGTATGCAGCCAAGCTGCGCACCTCTCACGCATGTTCATCCTGAATCCGCTTTTGCTCGTTGCCATGACGGGTTCAATTGTGTGAGTGGGGAGGCATCAGAGATTTGAGATGGTTTTGCCGTGTTGAGGCGGCAGGGTTAGAGAAGTGGTGATCGGTGCAAGCACGGCACTTCATGATACGAAGGTGGGTGGCCAGGAGGCACTGCCCAACATAGAAGATGGACTGCTTCTCGGGAGAACCCAATCCATCTGGGTGGAACCTTGATTGGGAAGATATCTGTAGCAGCTACTTTACCCTGGGAATCTGCAGGGCATGATCCCCATGCTAGCACCATCAACCAAGGTAAGTCGAAGGGCAACGTGGACGAAGTCCTGCATGAGGCCTTTCGCGGATCTTAGGTGGATCCCGAAGTGAAACAACTCAAGAAACTGAAGATCCATCCAGGTCCAAAAGTTTCAAGTCCCGCTGCACAAAGCGACCCCGCTACAGGCAGTCATGATAGGGGGGTTGTCGGGTCACGCGAAAACCTAAACTTCGCTCTACATACCGACAGGCGTTGACTGTGCAAGCACCTCCCCTGTCACAACATTCAGGCACCACTGGTTCGTTCATGACCCGCCCCCACGAGCCCCCACCCCCTACAGTACCCCCCTTTCACAACACAAAAATTGGCTGGCGCGGTTGACGGACCTCAGGGGCTTCTGAGGGCTTTGTCCGCAGCAACTCCTAGGCCAGACGCCTCAAACACCCCAAAATATCAGGCCCTCGGCTCTTGGCCACCGGACTCGCCTAAAGCAGGTTGACAAAACAACTGCCTGAAGCTGAGTTCCGAAAGTTTTTACCCAGCAGAGGGTCAGTGTACAACGCCAGCCTCGAGATGGTGAGGCCATCCACCGAATGCCTAAGAAGCTTCCGAACCCTCTGGATGCAGACAGCTGCTTGCTGACCAGGCCATTAGCTGGGGGTTAATGACTTGGGGAGCCTAGTTAACTGGGGTTTGGGTCTTCGTTATTCGAGGTCCTGATTGCTACAAGAAGAGCTGGCGGATTTTCGAGTTTAAGACTTGCATGTCTGTGCAGTTGTCCGCTATACACTTCCCGGGCACACCTGCTTACCATCGCGTTTGCCGATGCCACACAGGGGAGCTCCACACTGCATGTCTGTGTGTCATCCTTGCACTCTGCGGCACTTCATGTCACAGCCTCCTCATGAAGCAGATGTTTAACTCAACGCCTTGTAAGTTGGTGCCCCACGGGAGGGAGAGCCACCGCCGACACATTGCCTCGTTGGTGAGCACTGCCCTGGCAATCCCTGCTTTCGAGGCAAGGGAGAGCTCAGTTCCCACCCGATCGAGACCCTATCGGATATTCAAACTCATTCATATCAGCCGTAAAGTCCCTGAAGTCCTCAAGATCTGTGATCAACCTCGCCCTGCAATGTTTGCGACAACGAGCAACCCGAGAAACCCTGGCGCCCTTCATCTTGGTCGAGGGGTTTCATTTTTTGTGAGAGCTCGATGTTCAAAAGGTCTAATGTCTAATGCAGAGTGGCTCTTGGGAAAGACGTTAGGGCTTCCAGGGTTTTGGCCATGGTCTGAAGTCTTGCGGTTGCGCTTGTTGCGCTTTTCGGCTTGCTTGGGATGGTGTGGGTTCGGAGGGGACTGTCGCGAGGTGTGGACAACAGCTTCATTTTGTGTAGCAGAAACACGTTCGTTGCGCTTAGTCTGGTACTTGTGTTATCATGGAGCTGGTGGAGACGTCAATTGTGCTTGGCGCGAGGTCTTAAGGAAGCGCATCTTGTGAACACGGGCTGCAGAAACCGTAGAGACTGCAGTCTGGTTGCGCAATCGAATGTCTGAAGGTCCCAACTTCCCATCCCTGACAATACCTGCTGGGTGTTGGCAGTCGGTGTTTTTCTAGCATCCTCTGCTTGAACCTGTGAACAACAGCATGCTCGATGAAGAAGCAGGGAGAACAGGGAGGAAGGGAGGAGGAGGAGACGTTAAGGGTTGCTAGACCCGAAACAGAATCCGGAAGCATGGACGGACGGATCCGCGCGATGTTTTTGAAGCATGTGAAGCCGCCAAGCTTGTGGGCTGCACCTGTCGGTACGTGCGGAGGTCTTCGCCGATCGGCAGCCAGTGGAGTGGGGCCTGACTGACACATGACATGCAATCGTCAAGATGTGCGGGGCCAGGCTCGTAATCTGCTGCGGCAGGGATTCGGAAGCTTCGTAGGCTGCTGTGCTGAACTGCATCTCTTTAACAGATCCCCGCGGCCGAATCGACCCGAACCCGAACCCAGCCAAACCTTCGTCCTTGGAGGCAGTCTACTCCTACTAGAGTCAAATCTCTAGCACGATTCGGATCGCAGTTGCCCTCACTGCCAAGTAAAACAACCTTCCGAGGAAGTCATCGAGCATTCGTTGGTTGCTCGCCAGCCGCTGCCAAACCGTGCAACCTGCCCAGCAAGGATTAGTTCGAAACAGAAAAGATCTCCCCGGCGAAAAGCCCGGACGTCCTGAACGCTCATGATCTCGGATGTGCTAGGGTTTCGCCACTTAGGTTTATGGTGAAGGTGTCAGTGCTTTTTGGAATTTTGGCTTAGGACTCTTTGGGTGTCAGGGTAGTTTTAGGGTCTTGGAGTCTGGAGTTTGGGGTTTAAGGCTTGTGCTGTGAAAATTTTCAGGGTTTCAGAACTGTTTCGACTCAGGTTCTCGACTCGGAGGTCACCCTCTCTCCAAACCTCCTATGTCTCCATCTCCCCCCTCCCTTTCTCTCCCTCTCCCTCTCTCTGTTTGTCCTGCCTCTGTGGCATGGGGGCATGTATCAAGGTTTTTGAGCCGGGTATCCTGTCACCTCGTGACGGTTAAGGACACGGAGCCACGGGCAGGAGGTCCCGCACGACTCCAGCTCGCCGGAGGCCAGGAGAGTTTTCTTGGGTTCGGGGTAGGAGCATGCTTGACTGATACAAAGCAATCGAAACCCTCCAATGGACTTCGGTACTTCAACTTCAACACCGAAACAGCTACAGCCTTTCGTGATGCTGATTCGGGTCTGGCGGTCGTTTTGGATCAGTAAGGAAGCGCTCGGTAGCGATGCGCATGCACAATTGCAAGACTCGCAGCGCTCAGGCTGTCTCATGTACTGTTTAGCAGCTGGGACCTTCCTTGGCGTCATCTTTACAGCTTGCTGCTGCATGCCTACTGCGAGGAAGCCTGTGCTCTTCACGCTGGACCTGGCAAAGTAGTAGTCACGCAAGTGTTTCTGCTGGGGCAAATGCAGGTCAGGATCACGTGCTGTGGCTTGGAGGATGTCGATCGTGAGAAATTCCTGTATGTTGTCCTTCGCATGGCGATTTCACGGAGGCCAGCAGCCTGCAAAAGAGCTGGCCACCTCTGCCTGGAAGCTGGTCGTGCAGCTTGGATTCGAGTTGGAACCTACTGCATGGCCTCGAGCCTACACAACACCTCGTGAACAGCGCGTGGGTCTAGCCTTTAAATTAAAAGCTCGGCATAAAACTCGTCTGGACCCAGTGAATTCTGGAATCACTGGAGTCTCCTGGCGTGGTCAGCTCCAAGGATGGATCAGAGCCAGCGGCAGCAGAGGCCGTCGCCACAGAAACGTTGCACTTGTCTAAACTCATTCTAAACTCCACTACCCCAGGCTAGGCCCAAACCCCAAACTGCAAAGAGCTGAGCGCCTTGTTGCAACTTACAGGGAATGAATTTTCAGGCGGGGGTCTGAGCTCGGACTGAGTGTGATCAATCGCTTCTGCAACATTGCGCAAGCCGTGACTTCAAGACTCGTAGGAATGCAAGCGGCCTAGCGACTTGCAGTCCATTGCTCAGAACCCAAAACCCCGCATTCCACCCGGTTTTTCGAGAGGCAAGCAGATCGCCTCTCTGACATCGATGTGATTATCTGGGTGGACTACGGTGAGAGCCCAGAAGGGCCACCACCAACACCCGAGCCTCAGCCAAAGTTTTTAGGCTTATGCTACTTGTGTTCACACGGGCGATGGGCATCTTGGATGTCCACCGAGCCGAAAAAACACAAAATATCTGCATGACAATCTTTCCCTGGCTGCTTGCCAGTTTGCCAGATACTTGTACTTGCCGCTGCTGCAATCTACCCTGCCAGTGCGTTTCAGTAATTCTGATCGCCGAGAGCACTACTAGCTAGCATTTCGTTCACGTGCAAGCTCAGACAACCCGAGCAACCCAACGTTTCCTCATTCAGACGTCTCTTATTTCGATTGCACACCCCATTACAATGACAATGCCCTTACGCACAGTTGAACGAACCCTGCGTTCGATGTTACGGAGCCGTAAAGTCACCCAAAGCCTTCCCTTCAAGAGCTTCAATCATCCTTGAGTCGCTTGAAACACTGTGAGTCCAAAGACTCCTTAGTCCTAAGCCCTCAAATCCTCAGGACCAGATACTTCCTTCCTAAGCCCCGGAGCCCCCCTTGAGCTGGAACCCTGTGACTCAAATTCAAGCGAAGAATTCCTGGCGAGGAACACATCGATCACCTTTTTTCGGAGGTAGACCTGGCCATTAGCCGAGGCTCCTGGGGCCTTGGCGGGGTCCGGAGTTGTAAGGGCAAGACTGTTGAGGCAGAGCTTGGGGCCAGGTCACTATCCTAACTAGTCAGCCCATCTGTTCAAGGGAAATCCAACAAGAATCTCACATAGGATCTCCCACCCACGACTGTTTCGTCCCGTGTCGAGATGCTATGAGGCTTGCGCGGCCAGCGGGATGAAATGATCGAAGCGCTGATCTTGGCGTTGAAGGCCGACCTGACACTTGGCAAATCTTGGCAAGCATGGCCACAACGTACTTGTCTCCCCAGTACTGCACCAAGCCCCAGCGTGGGTCAAACTGCACAGGCAACAGGGCAGATGCCAAGGTGGCAAAGGGAGCATGGTGCGTGGCCTCAGTCTGAAAGCTTATGCCCCAACTTGGAGCCGAAAGACGAGGACTCTGGCCCTCGAGAGCAATGACGAAGCCACCATGGAAGCGGCGGTGCTGCGTGCGCGCGAGGCCAGCATTACGAGGTTGCTTTAAAAGACGCTTTGCACTTGCACTGGAAGTCGAAGCTCTGGTCTCTCCGGGGCCAAAACGGAGTCTAAAACAGTTGTGCCAGCTGTGCCCCCGCTCACTTGAACAAGCAAGACTTGGGCAACGCGATTCATCACTCAACATGTAGGAAAGCGCTTGCAGTCCGGGTCTTACTGCTCATGACAAGTCGCCTGCAGGTTGAGCTGGCGGCCAAGCGCGAGGTGCCTGCTTGTGATGTGGACTGCGCGGGTCACGGCTCCAAGTACAGTGCTGCCAGTACGAATAGGCCACCGCGCCAGCAGAAGTCCTTTTGCTGAGCCCAGATCTACTACAAGCAATTCATGGCTTGCGAAAGAAAATCGAAACACGACACCAAAAGAGACCAACGTATCAAAGCTGACGACCTGTATGGCACTTGTATCGCTGTTGGAATCGTGTTTTGCGGTTCGGGAAGCAGGGTGGGCGCGGGGCGCGGCGGGGCGAGGGGGGGGGGGGGGGGGGGGGGGGGGGAACACAGCAAGCCCAGCAGGAGCCCCAGCAGGAGCCCCAGCAGGAGCCACAGCAGGAGCCACAGCAGGAACCCAGCAAAATTAGTGGAAAACATGTGCCCCTCCATCCTTTGCAACACCTGCCCCGTGGTTTTCTGTTTCTGCAGGTGGTGTCCTGTTTGGTGACCTCGCGTCTCCTGGCAGCTGCCGAGTCTGGCAGCTCGGGCGGCAAAGTAAGACAAAGTCGCGGAAAATGGAAGCTCTAAGACTCTAAGCTCATGATTGACATGCCGCAGTCTGCTAAAGGCCGACTTGTCCGCTTGTAGGTTCGGATCCCACAGTGCTCCAGCCTGTGTTCCAGCCACGAGCCCAGGTCGTGAGGCGGACATGCGAAACGCCATGCGATTTGCCCGGGAGCCTTAGCAGCAAGCTTAGATCAGTCTCACTGGGCTACTGGGCCACTGGGCCTTTGGAAGGTTGGGGACAAGGCTACTTGGCCTCTAGGCAAGAATGGGTTGTGGATAGATTGCCATTCCAAGTGCAGAGGCATGGGCTGAAGGGTTTGGGAGAGATGGCCGCTGGATATTGGATGTGCACCGCAATACAGGAATGCAGCGTGTCGCAGATGGCAGAACATTCCATTCGCAGTTTCCCGGAGCGAGCCGCTCTAGTTGAAATAAATTTTGACCGCCCTTTCAGCTTGCTGCTTAGTGAGGCGTCTCATCAACACATCTTGGGCTGTACTCAAGCTTATCCGAGGAGAAGGGTATGGAGCACCTGAGCGTCTACCACGAGGCACCTCAATCCTAAACCCCAAGCCCAGGACTGGAATCGTGTTTCTTCAGGCCTCAGCGCATGCATTTCCCCTCAACGTGGACAGCCGAAGATCAAAATTTAGCTTCAAGCTCCCACTTCAGAACATGCACATACTGGCATTTTTCAGGCCAACTTCAAAAGCAGGGCAGACGGGACGTGTTGAACCCTGAGCCTACGAAGAAGCAGGTCCAGGCCATCCACGGCACCCTCTATGGCGAGGCACTCCTTGCCCGGCTAAGCGCTGCAGCTGTGGACCGCGGCCTGGGTAGGGGGAGAATGGTGCTCATAGTGCAGCGCAGGTTGTTCTTGAATTCAAAGCAGTTAAGGGGAGCCCTGTGACAACAAGGTCATTGAGCAGTTGCCTTGCCTTAAAGCATTCGGGATGTTATGCCACAGAGGCTGTCAATCCCCCTGCTATGTGACAAGGCAGTGCCCGCAATAGTTTGTATGAGGGTCATAAGTTCAGCTATTGAAAGTATCGAGAGTCTTTAGAGTTTGATGGGTCTGTGGCGGTCTGTGTGAACAGATGACCTCCTGCTTCCGGCTCGGCCGGTCAAAGCATTCTGCAGTACATGTTAGCCCCGATAGTCCTCGAATCCCCAGTTCAGTTCCAGCACCACCCAAAGACCCCAAGACAGGTTGCCTCCATTGGCCATGCCATGCAACACACTCCTGCAAGATCCCGCAAGGATGCAGACCTCACAGGCCTGGCAGCTGTACATCGCACGGCCTTGGCTCACGGCCTCTAGGCTGGCAAAAATGCGGCATAGGAGGGCAGATGAACAGGGCGGAAATTCCCACAATGCGCGAGCCTTGGGACTGAGGCATGACAGAGGTGGCCAGGTCCTGCTCTCAGCAGCCCCATCTTTTTGTGTGGGGGTTTTTTTGGGGGGGTGTTGAGTGAGACAGGTTTTGAGTGGAGGTATGGATGATGGGGATAAAGTTGCATAGATGGGGGCTTAGCGTGGCAGCATGGAATCAGCACGCACCCATTTTGGAGCCGAAATCCATCACCGCCGTGCCTTGCAGGCAGGTGATGGAAGCGGCAGAGGTGGGACCCACATGCATGCCTCAGCTGGGCGACTTAAGCTCCGTCCAGGGTTAGTGTGCAGCTGACCAAGACAGTAGCCGAGCAGTTGACGGCTCTGGGGAGGCAGAACTTGGCCGCGCCGCCGGGCTTGGCGGAGACGAGGCTGTGGCTGCCACCGCCGCGCTGCAAAGTGCCGCGAAGGCTGCTTGAAGTTCTGAGGGTCTTGCGTTCAAAGGAGCATACCATCCCCTGTTCACCCTCAAGCCTTGCATAAGCCCCGCCTCTTCATGGCAGGTGACAAAGCAACATAAATCCATGTAATGCTTCGAAAGCCCCCCCTCCTCACCGAAGGCATGCGGATGGAACGCGATCGAAGAGCTTGCGGCAACCCAGATGCTGCGGTTGACAATGGAGCTTGCGCTGCAGAGGTCGCAGGCGGGAAGCCAGGAACCGTTCGGAGACTTCCGGGGTGCTTACTGTAAGTCTTCATGACTCTTTTCGCAAGTCAGCTGAGAGGGCTTTCAAACAGTGCTCCGACGCAACAGCACCCGGCTAAGAGACGAGAAGCTTTTTTCCGACTTACAGCGCCCGAGCGCGTCAACAGAGGCGCCTGGGCCAAAAAGCATCACAAAGAAACGCGTGGAACGCACGACAAGCGCCTGAAAGCATTTGAGGCAGTCTAGGCCGTCTTCAGTCTCGGCACCACCTAAGGGCCTAAGGGTGCCGGGGATCTCAAAAAAAGGACGGCCAAGGCCTGACGCCCCGAATGTGGCGCACACCAAGCATACCTTGCCGTTCCAAAGCGTGCGCTTTGGCATACGCACGATGCGCTCGCATTTACAAACTTGCCCCAATCCGGGGCACGCATACCGTGTGTGTAGTGTACCTGCTTGCCGCAGGAAAGAAAGAAGCAAGCAGATGCGAATGAGAGAGAGAGAGAGGACCAAACAAACTTCTAGAAGAAGAAGAGCCAAACAACAAAGAAACAGAAAGGCAAGCAAACAGCCAAGCATCCTTCACCGAGTTGTTTGCGTGTAGCCCCCTGGTTATTGACGTTAGCAAGCCTGACCAAGATGTTCCTGAAAAAGAAGGTCTCCGATGATCTGGCCACGATGCGAGCCGTGGAGCTACGTGCGCGCAAGGAGCTTGGCAGGGATCAAAGCGACGAAGCCGTTTGCATAAAATGTATGTTGACTTCGGACAGTCTAGACCTGGGCTGGAAGATGTCAGGACCAGAATCTGTTCAGTTTGGGTTCGTGCGACCTGGAAACCCCAGGACAAGTCATGTGGCGCCCTGCTTAGCTTGACCCTATTCTCGGGCATGAAGTCAGGGGCCTTTCTCGCCTTCATCATGACCAGCTCTCATGTTATGAGCTTCAAGACCAGAGACACCCCAAAAGGCTCCGTTCAACCCCCCTAAGCTTGCTTTCAACGAGACGTAGAAGCCCAGGAGCAGATGGGCGACCTGGCGGAGCGGGCTGCCAGGCCCTGGGGAGTCGGCGGAAGTTCCGTGCTCGGGGTCTTGTCGTCGGTTCCGGGCATTAAAAGGGTGGGGAACCATGGGAACCCAGAAAGTCTGGTGCCGGCTCGCATCATCCATAGATGTCCGTCGCAAGTTCTCTGGACTTGCATCGCCAACAGTGAATGTGCTTCTTGTGTGCTCTTTCCGGTTGGCAGCAAGAACGCCCGCAATGAGGGTAGCTCAAAATGCTAAACGCAGTCCTTCTCCAGAATCCACTTGCAAGTCCCATGCCCTCTAGCAGCCGACTGACTACTGCAACAGGTCGTCAGGTGTGCCTTCAGCATCAAAGGCCCGTAACCCTACAGGCCCTTTATTCACGAGACCTTCGGCTCATGCTCCAGGATTGTCAATGAAGCCGCCCACCGCATGGGCGCCCGCATGGGCCTTCCTGCAGAATGGGACGTTGTGGAGCGCATGGCGGGGACGGACGCTGCACTGCTGAAGAAGGCCTCCCCAACCTGCTCAACTTTTGAACAGGATTGAGAAAAACCTAGTAAGCCGTGAGCCCAGTTTCAAAAAGCTGCCCTACCGCCTCAAAGCATAAACAGAATGCCTATAGTACGAACACCTAACTCCCACTCCCACTCAAAACTCCAAGCTGTGACTCTGCATAGCCTCTGGCTGACAGCCTCAAGGCAGAGCGACAGAAAAAGAACGAGTTCAACCTTCTCAAACCCTGAACTTTCAATACCCCCCTTTTGTATCTGCCAAACCGTTAGCTCACAGAAAATATAAACGTCAAAGCCTGCAGAGAGCCATCCTCACCAATCTTTTCAGGATGAGGAGACCGCCTCGGAGTTGCTGAAGAGAGTTCAGGACCTTGCCCTCCGGCTCCTGAGGGCTTCGGGCTTCAGTGCAAAGGCTGCAACGGTGCAAGGTGGCAAAGAAGCTGCGCCGGCCACACAGAACACTGACTCCCTGAACTGCAACTGCCGCACACGATAATTTCAAACAGACTTAACTGAGCTTGCTTCACTAGAAACGAGACCCCATCCAAGGTGAACGCCACTTTCTGGGGCTGGGGCGGACATGGTGCGAGGACTCGCGGCGCGTCCGCTCTGTTTACTTCTGGGGTCGATCGCTTTACAGGGCTTTAGTCTGGAAGCTACAGAGGCTACAAGCCTTGGAGTGGATGAGTGGTGCTTGCTTCTAGTTTGGAGGCCTCCCACCTCTGGAAACCATATATATATATATATGAGCCCGCAACCTTTAGGGTCTATTTTGTCTTGTGCCTTGCTTTACTACTTAAAAGACCTAGTCTAAATACAAATATAAATAAAATTACATCTGTAATGGTATGCACCTACGACTTCCAAGCTTATGTCATATCAGTTTTATGTTCGCATAAAGTTTTTGCGTGGGCTGGTTGCTTGTGCTTTTGGATTGTCATGCACTTGCGAGGACAATCTGTTCGCACGAACGAATCCCTACAGTTGAACTGTCAAAATTGCTTGTGTGTGCTTGTTTTGTGTCATTGTCAGCATTGACATTTTTGTGGGCTGGTTGCTTCGTGCGCTTGCAAGTACAATCTGTTCGCAGAAACTACTCCCTACACTTGAACTGTCAAACTTCTGTTTGTGTGCGTCTGTTTTGTGATCAATGTTCCCATTGATGTTTTTGTCCATACGTTCTACTGTCAAGCGTGGGTTGGCTTCCGAGTAAGCTTCGCTTTGTCTGTGGGCGTTCGAGTCAACTTCGCTTTGTGTGTGTGGGTACAATTGCGAATGATGTTTGCGTTGTTATAGAAATCACACATCCAACCCATTCATGCATTTAGCAGCAGCAATATGATCAACCCTCCGCACCTGTGTTGTACAACTTAAATGTAATGATTGATTACTTTCTACAGCTTTAATTGTTCCATCTGCTGCTTGTTTACGTATTAGTGTTTGTGAGCTGCATCATGTTGGCGCGATGGCAATGTTATGACTATTGGTATTCACAGTATTGGAAGCACTACTAAAAAACATCATGAGCATATTACCAGTATTACAACATTAAACGAATTAGCAATATGACTAATGTGAGTAATATTGGCAATGTTGGCAACATTGGTACTCGTCCTGGCGCGAGAAACATTCGTGGTTCTGTTAATATAACCAAAAAACATGATGTGTTGTTTGGAACCTTCGAAATCGAGTATTACTGATGTTCTGAATATGTTTAACCTATCCAATCCCCCCCCTCCCAATTTGACAATTTTTGACTAAACTATCACCAAATAAAATTGCAGTACATTGGCAAGAATGCTCACAGCAACATCGAACCCTTAAACCTGTAAACTAATCAGCAGGTTTCCTTTTTGCGCGGTCAAAGAGCAAAGTCAGATACGCTTTCGCAATCTTTCCTACGTTCCTCAACTTGTTCTCTCGTCGCTCTCTTTGAGAATGGCTTTTGGCAAGTCGCAAAGAAGTCCCGTAGACGAGCGTTTCGGAAACGTGCAAAAGTGTACTGGCGACACTCGCATACCAAATGAGCTGTCTGGAACAATGTAATGGACCCACCGAAAATCTCCCGAAAATATCCACTGCCGTTGAGTTTTTTCCGGAGGTTCCTAAGTGCGTCTTCACCAAGAGGATCCCCGTCGAAACGAGCACCATTTCCAAAACCAGGTGGGATGTCGACCAAAACCCTCGCCCACCACTTCCACTGCATCTGACAGAATTTGCAAGCGAGCAAACGCTCCCGCACTGGTGCGTTCACGGAGCATATTGTCAGACAGCTTGCGCTTGTAGCAGAGACGTGGCAATTCTCTCCAGTTGCGAAATTCTCTGATGAAGCGGCTGTGTTTTTTCTGCTTGTTGGTGCAGTTGTACCCATAGACATGGTAAACCATTGCGTCGTTGGGCACTGGCTCACGAGGAAGATGAGCACCAGCATGCGAAGCATAGCGCTTGCTCGTCAAACATATTATGTGGGCTTTGAACGATTCTCGCAACAACTTTTGAATGCTGGCAGGTACCGATTTCTTGACAGAGCCGCAGCGTTGAACAATCAGCCGAAGCATGAGGTTGTCGGCTTTTTTTCGCGTTACCCCACTTCTTTGCTCCAATCTGATATCTGGGCTTTTGAAGTTTCCGGACAATATGCCACAATATAACAAATCTAGACCCGAACATCGTCTCATCAGGCGTTTTACCAATGTCCGCTTGCTGACTTTTTGATGGCGGCACGTTTGCACTTCGCGCCTGATTTTGGCGTAAGAGCATAGGAGTTTTGCGTAGGTCTTGACACATGCCATGGCAGCCAGGAGACTAACCAAAACAACAAAACTGTGTTGTTGAAGACTACAGTTGCTTATCAATTCGCCGCTCTCTTAGAAAATGATAGATGACATTGCACGTCGGAAAAGTAATAACTAGCGAACGCAAAAGGTTTTGCTTTGAAACGATACCATGGTCGTGTCACTGCGAAGTAGTAGACGCCCGAGCTATGTCAAAAAGGAGCCCTGTGGCAGCAGACTGGGGATGGTCATGCGATTCACAACACCTTGCCCTTCAGCATGTAACGAAACACGTGAGCTACACAGACCAGAAGGCTGCTTTTTCATATATGCTATAAATACTTTCTAGGCTGTATATATTACAAACTTTAAGCAATGCTGCATACGATACGCTATACAATACTGCAGTCTATACTGTACACTATAGTATAGACAAGACTATAGTGTACTGTATAGTGTATACACATATATATGTATATATGTATATATACGATTCTTAAGAAGTCTTAAGACTGCAAATTGAAGATTGAAGATTCCTGGCATACTCCTGCCCACGAATCTTCCATTCTTACTTTTCCTTTCCCAGAAATCTTAAGAAATCTTAAGAAGGCTTAAGACTTAAGACTGAAATTGAAGATTGAAGATTGCTGGGATAGTCCTGCCCAGGAATCTTCCATTCTTACTTTTCCTTTCCCAGAAAATCTTAAGAAGTCTTAAGAAGCCTTAAGAACTCTTCAGGCTTAAGACTGAAAATTGGAGATGGAATTCAAGATTTCCGGGATACTCTTGCCCAGGAATCTTCAGTTTTACTCTTAGATGCAGAAAGCTTCAAGGTCTTAAGTTTTAAGAATTCTTAAGACTTCTGAAGAATTCTGGTAAGTAAACAGTGAGAATTGAAGATTCCTGGATATGAGTCTCCCAAGAATCTTCAATCTTCAATCTTAAATTTCCGGTCTAAGTCTTAAGAATTCTTAAGAATTCTTAAGAAGTCTGGGAAGAAAGTACTGAGAATTGCAGATTCCTGGGTAGGAGCCTTCCAGGAATCTTCAATCTTCAATTTTCGGTCTTACGCCTTAAGAACTCTTAAGCCTTCTTCAGACTTCTTAAGACTTCTTAGGACTTCTTGAGAATTCTGGGAAATAGACACTCCGAATTGAAGATTCCTGGATATGAGTCTCCCAGAAATCCTCAATCTTCAATCTTCAATCTTCAATGTTTCAGTCTTAAATTCTTAAAAACTCTTAAGACTCAAAAACTCAAGAATTCTCGGAAGTAAACGCTGAGAATTGAAGATGCCTGGATAAGAGACTCCCAAACACCTTGAATCTTCCATTTTCATGCTGAAGTCTTAAGAATTCTGAAGAATTCGTGTACGAATTCTTAAGAATTTTGGGAAACAAAAATTCTTGAGAATTCCCCCCCTCAAGATACGCGTCCGAATGCTTGTAGTCTTAAGTCCCTTAACCTTTAAACCCTATGGGGTTAGGTTTTTTTTAAAGTTCAGGCTTTAAGATTTAGGCATTGTAACCTAAGCCCATACAGTTTAAACCTTAAGGGTTTAAGGTTTAGGCATTTGTTATATGTATGAGTTGGTAATCCGCGTATCAATCTTCTATGTATGAGTTGGCAATTTGGGTATTCAATCTTGATTGGAAAGAGTTTTTGTCACACAACATGTTGTTTATCAGCATCAAGTTTGCTTACATTGTTTATAAGCATCAAGTTTGCTTATAAACGGGGGGTTGGGGGGGGGCGGGTTCTCCAACACAGCGCCAGGACCCCTGAACACCCTCGACCCACCCGACCCCCTCGCCCTTCCTGCCCTACCTTCCCCCCGCTCCGCTGAGCTCCATGTTATTGTTTGCAGGCCTATTCTCTTATACCCTATCGGTCAAGGGGTTAGGGTTTTAAAGAGAGCCCCGAGACCCTGTATGATTAAGCCTTAACCTTTAAGCCCTACCGGGTTAAGGTTGACAGGTTTAGGGTTTAGGATGTAGGCATTTAAAGCTAAGCCGGGCAATTCAAACTAAACCCAACCTGCAAATAGTATCGAGTTCATGTCTAAGGGGTGAATTAAGAAAAAGAAAAGTACACTACAATGAAGTTAGAGGCTCGTTAAATAAAGTAAAATAGGTGCGTTTGGAAGTACCAATAAACGATGTCCTTTTGCATAATATGAAAAGACTGGATTCACTAATGGAATTTTTGTACGGGCTTAAAAGAGCCATTGATTGTGAAGGTAAGTCCTCCATGAATCTTCTGCCTGTGTCTTGATTAACGCTGAAGGTATACATGCCCAGACCTTGGGTTTCTGAACCATTGAACCCTATCAAGTTTGCAGGTTTAGCTACCTACACGATAACACCTTATAACCCTATGGGGTTTGAGGCTTAAATCCCTAGACCTTAAAATCCATAAGACTATGCCTTGTGTGTAAGAACCTTAACCCTGAACCGTTCAGGGTCAGAACCCTAAAACCCTATAGGGCTCTCAAAGGTTCAAAGGTTTTCACCCTAAAACGCGCTGAAGGTATACATGCCCAGACCTTAGGTTTTTGAGCCATTGAACCCTCTAGGACTCTAGGCTTTAAAGTTTAGGG